ACACACACACATACACTGGCATACAGACACTGGCATTCATACACCAGCATACACACACACATACACTGGCATTCATACACCAGCATACACACACATACACTGGCATACAGACACTGGCATTCAGACACTGGCATACACACACATACACTGGCATTCATACACCAGCATACACACACACATACACTGGCATACACACACTGGCATTCATACACACATACACTGGCATACACACACATACACTGGCATTCATACACCAGCATACACACACACATACACTGGCATACACACACTGGCATTCATACACTGGCATACACACACATACACTGGCATTCAGACACTGGCATTCAGACACTGGCATTCAGACACTGGCATACACACACATACACTGGCATTCATACACCAGCATACACACACACATACACTGGCATACACACACTGGCATTCATACACTGGCATTCAGACACACATACACTGGCATACAGACACTGGCATTCATACACACATACACTGGCATACACATACACTGGCACACACATACTGGCATTCAGACACATACACTGGCATTCAGACACCAGCATACACACACACATACACTGGCATACACACACTGGCATTCATACACACATACACTGGCATACACACACTGGCATTCAGACACTGGCATACACACACACATACACTGGCATTCATACACCAGCATACACACACACATACACTGGCATACACACATACACTTCATCCCCAGCCACCCTCCTCTCTTCCTTACCATTTCGTCACAGGAGGGTGGCTGGGGATGATGGGCATCGGCTGCCTCTCCTCATGCTGCGTCCTCCTTCCCGCGCGGAGTAAAGTGGGAGGAAGTGACCGGACGTCACTTCCTCCCAGCAGCACTTGCTTCCGGCTGCATTTTTTTTTTTAAAGGGGCCCGGTCGCGCTATTACAGCGCTAAATGGGCCCCTGAAGATAATAGGGCCCATTGGGTGGCCCTAAATGATTAGGGCCACCTGATGGGCCCCATCAGCGTGTGGGCCCCGGTGCAGATGCACCGGCGGCAGTTCCGCTGATCCACGTGGGGCCCGGGCGGCCGGGCCCCCCAGGGCCGCCGGGCCCGTGACAATTGTCACGGTTGTCATGCCCTGATGGCGGCCCTGACTGGGACACCCATAGAGCTTCAGTCCCCAGTCGCCGCAGCTTGACTTTTGGTCTATCTGGAGTTCCCACTAGTAATAAAGCTCTTCTGCAGCATGTATAGCTGTATAGATGCCTCACCCAAATCATAGCCAAGACTTAGTGAAGGGTGAATAAGAAGTGTTGTATTAAGTCAAAGTATACCAATTTATACACAGATCCCCAGCATGGGGTCTCTGTTCATAAACGCACAATCCTGCCGAGGCACCTCTGTGTCTTGGAGATAATTGAGTCAGCTATCGGTTAAACCAATTATCTCCTGGACACAGAGAGAACAGTTCATAAAACACCCCAGAAAATACATAAAATAACTGAGCACCCCAACATGTCATACATCCCTCGATAGCTCATCCCCGAGTGCACAATCTGTCAAAAAAGTGCCCGGATCGGATGTGGCTGGGCCGATTTGCATGGAAGTCAAGTCAAAGTTTTAACAGGGGTTGGCTGCTCTCCAATCCGACGCAGAGTCACCAAAAACAGGAATGCTTTCCTTAAGTTCATCTGGCTCCCCCAAATCCAGGGTATCTTTGAATGCCTCATGACCTCATCTACCTCCCCTCCAAAAAGCACCTTGCTAGGTGATACTGGGATTGAAAGTGCTTAGTACAGAGTTTTAATCGTATCATGGTGGAGCCACGATCTGCTCCAGAGTTCCAGGGCATTTGGAGGTTGCTCTGTGCCTCCCTGTAGGTCTGTAGTAATCCCTGGTCTGCTAGGAGGCACAGCTGGAAGGGGGCAGTCTAATGATTATAGCTCCTTCCACAGGAGGTTGAGAGTTGGAGAGCCAGGTATATTCATGTAAGGGGACTGGGTGGGGAAACTAGTCTTTTTCAGATGGAAGCAGGGTCTCTGTGGTTAGGCCCATCGTCCATGGGCAGGAGCCTAGCTATCACGCTCCTCAAGGAATTTGTGGCATAGGAACGTTTGTCACAAGTATTGATTCCCAATTCATAGTGAGATTTCTTGGTGGATCAATCTACCCCGTATGTACTCTGCATATTAGCTATACTTTGCTAACAATACTAGACATGCAATTAATTTCAGAATGAATTGAATGTCATCCACATTTGTCAGAATTTCTTAAATTCACATAGCTTATTGTAGGCAAAATATACTTTCTTGAAGTCTTGCCGCTTACATGTAACAAATTGTTACAAATTGCAAAAATATTAGGCATGACCAGAAAAATTGTAAGAATATTTTTTTTTTATAACTCTTTATTTGTGCAGTGCATAAGTGTACAAACATGCTTGCTTTGCCCCAACAGTATACCCCAAGGAAACCATCATACATAACATTTGGGACAATGAGGCATACGTGCACATTTTTCAATTTATGGAGTAAATTAAAATAAAGTTAAATGATAGGTAGGTAGTGAAACGCATATGCAACAAAATAATAACTAGGGTTTTTGTTAGCATGTTGTATTTGGATCTCTGGTCGAACTATGTGATCGGTATTACTATTCACAGCGTGTGTCAATGGCTGTCGCCTCAGCTCTGGAGAACACTACTCTAAAATATGCAATTGTAAACTTGTGATCTGGTGATAATGGGAGAGAGAGGCACAGGCACACCCCTGGCCAATTTATACAATGGAGCCCTTATGCCCTATGGTGGATGCTGGTCATCAATTTATTGGCCGATGCTAAGAGGTATAAGCCTACAAAGTTTAGAGCAGACTTATATTGCTCTACCCTTGTGAGTGTTTTGGTTTACATTTTCTTTATCATTGTGTATGTACATACTACCCTATGATTGTATATTTCCTTTCTCTTTTTGAGACATATATTGGAGTGCTGACAGAAGTTCTAAAGCACATTCCATAATTGGGAAAAGCTAAGTATTGTATTTTTGCACATAATTGGTTGCACAATTTTTTGCACATTTTGCATGTATATATGTTGAAGTGAGTTGCACATTGATGCACTTGATCACTTTATTTGCACAATATTGCACAAATAATTTTCACTGTTTTGAGTCTTAAAGGCACAGCGCACTTTAATTTTTCATTGTTTTTACATAGGTGATTGAGCTTTTTCACAATATATAGTGCTGCTTATTGGTATAGATTATAGTTTTAAATTCAGCGCCATAACATTACTTGTGTGTTTTATCACCTAAATACCACCTTGAGGTGGTTCAACTGTAATGCAAAACATGTGGTGTGTAAAGAGAAATAACATAGAAACAATAATAGAGAAAATTAAACTAGTGGCAGTCCTGGGGTGTCATCAAATTAGGTTACTAAGGCTCCGTTTCTAGAGGGGATGAAAGATAACAGTCGAAACACCCCATGAGTGGTTAGGTTGAGATCTGGGAGTCCCTTGGGCCACCGCTGCTAGTCCGAGTGCAGTAAGGAATGTTGTGGCATCGTCGGGCGATGTGGCTTTATAGGTCTTTACTTTGTGTAGGCTGTAAAGCCCTAGGGGTGGTCCATCTGTACTGGATGCCCGCTTCCATCAGCGGTCGTGTGATGGGCAGTATAGATTGTTGCCATTGTAGGGTGGAGCAGGTGAGGTCTTGATAGAAGGTCAGACTGAGGGTTTCAAAATCCAGGGGTGCCTTATTTCTCAGATTATTCATCAGCTTTTGCTTGTCTGCATAGGATTAAAATCAAACTATTATGTCCCTTGTGGAGGTGACTGGTGCGCGTGGTGATTTGGCTATTCTGTAGATACCATCTAGAGTGATGGATTTTGACAGCTTGGTGGGCAGCACCGATGCCAGTAGTCTTCTAAGTATGTGTGGGAGCTCTTCAAGGGACACTGCCTCAGACACCTCTTTGATCTTCAGATTCTTTCTCCGACCTCTGTCTTTGAGGGAATCCACTCTTAGGTTGGTGTTTGTATTGGAGGATTGTAATTTATGTACATTTTCTTCAAGTGTCGTTAGGCCTCTTTTGAGCTCTGACACCACTTCTTCCGTAGATTGAACACGCTCTGTGACCGCCTGGACCTCATCTTTCACTAGAGCTGTATATGTATCAGAGAGTTTCCTGATGCATTCATATAGGTTAGTGATGTCGTCCTTGATATCCAGAGAAGATATTGGTGTCCCTGGGGGTACACTTGAGGTGGAAGAACTGGGTTCACTAGGCCCTGTCTGTTGTAGACTGATCTCATCATCCGACGTGCTCCGCTGCCTTCGTTTTTGGCGTGCATTAAAGCTGGTTGCCGATGTGTCTCGTCTCTTGGGACACCGATGCTGGTGTGTTTGTTCTTGTGTAGTCCATTGTTGGTAGGATTGATTCTAACTCGGGAGTAGGTGAGTAAAGGTCCCAGTCAGCAGGCTGCACAGCCTGGAAGTCTGCCGAGTCTTGCGCAATGATTTGGTATTCAAGCCACAAAAGAAGGGCACGAGTACACTCCCCTGGTGTTTCCCAGGTTGAATATGCCACTTCTGGGGATCAATGGTTGCTGGATGTGATCAATATTTGTCACATTTATGATTTTGAGCCTGGACCTATAGTAAATGGCATCTGAACCGGACTTTCATGTGGTTTCCATTTTTAGTTCGGGTACCGAACAACCACATGAATTGCGGACCACCTCTGGGTTCGTTAGCTCCTATTGACCTCTCCTGACAATGTTCCAAGTGTTCGGCTGGGTGACCGCCGTCCGTTTACATGAACACATGGGAACTGAGTTGGCGACCATCTTGTTTGCATGAACGCAGGCGTTTGGTCAGCGAATGCATGGAACTAAAATCTGACTCCCTTACTCGCGAACACTGCTGAACTTTGGTGAACACCTGCTACTGTTAAATACATGTCAGGAAAGTGCCATTCGATAGGATTGTTTGCATGAACTAGGCAAACAATCACTACCCAGGAGCCAGACCATGAGTCTGGTATTTCATTTGGTTTTAGACTCCCGAAAGTGACCGACCACTATCACTTTTCTTATGGAACTATTTTTGGCAGAAGCCACGTGTGTGGTCGGTCAAACCACCAAACCGATCTGAGTGCTTTTTGGATATGATAAGCACTCAGATCAGGGCTTTCCAGGGATGGGACTCTTGAGGGGTTTTACATGAATTTTGGAGGTAAATTTTGGGTGTTGTAAAATTTTATTTTTATGTACCTAGATAATTGAGTTTGTACAGGTCTTGACGCATTCATATGTCAGGCACAGGGGAGGAGTTTACCCCCATGATAGCATACCATTTGCAAAAGTACACAGCCCAAGGTATTGCAAGTGGGATTATGTACAGTCTTTTTTAGTAACCACTTAGTCACAAACATTGGCCAAAGTTAGCAGTCCTCCTGAAGAGGATCACGTAAGTACCACGGAGCTCCTGGGGTAGAAAGCCATTACAGCGTTCTATGCCACCGCAACGGCTTTAAAGCCCATTTTAATGGGGACAGCATAGAACGCCATAATGGCGTTAAGGGGTTAAATGGAGAATATATTTTAAAATTGGCCTGATAACCTTCAAAGCCTTAAACAATCAAGGCCCACAGTACCTGAAAGAGCTCCTGACATGCTACATTCCATTCCGTTCACTTCGGTCAGCCAGCAAATCCTTCCTGTCAGTGCCAAGAATAAAGACACTCAGGTTCCAGGGCATTCAGCCACGATGCCCCTACCTTCTGGAACTCTTTACCGTGCACAATCAGAGAGGCGCCGTCCTTAGACTTTTTAAAAAAAGACTCACCTCTTTCATCAGGCATTCAGTCCGCTCATCTGACCTTCAGAAACTCTTAACTTTTATGTCTTTATGTTTGTATATTTGTAAAGTGCTTTGAGTCTCAAAGGGAGAAAAGCACTATAAAAATCGCAAATTATTATTATTATTATATTACCAATTTATATTTTCAATTAGTCCTAGGACCATGCTTACTTAAAGGGACACTCCACTACCCAAATACAAAATAAATTAATAATCATTGTTTAGTAGGTATTCCCCAAATGCATTTTTTTATATACTTTTTCATTGCGGATAACAACTTACAAAAGCTGCAGTTCTCTTGTCTGCAGCATTTGCATGCACTCCATGTTAACCCCCACCCTACCTTCCTGTAGCTGTCCAATCACTGATTTCCCAATGTAGCTCAATAAAAAGTATTTGCATGGCATGTGCTCTGGGCAATTGTCTGCCTCTTGACTTTAGCTCAACTGAGCTAACCAAACCAAGATGTAACAGGACCAGTTGTCTGCTTGAAGGCCAGGAGAGTAACCAGGCTAATTCATAATTTCTATTAAAATCTGCACTTTTTGCAAAATAAAAAAAAAAATACACTCTTCACACACAAGACTTTTCAGCAAGCTAAATTGCTTTAGGGGTCTGGAGTGTCCTTTTAGTTAAGGCATTATTGAATAAAAAGTAGATGTTAATTTAATTCAAAATGTATACTTATATGAACTCAATATTTCTCTAATAAATATATATGAGCTGTAATTATTCAAATATTTAATTGTACTCAGAGTTTTTAGACATTTATTAGGACATGAACTGTATATTTTACATTTTGATTTTGAGAAACTATCAAGTTCACTTGTAGTACCTATAGGCCAAAACTTGTAAAACCTCTCTCTTCTGTACATAACATAATGTAAAATAAAATTGGCTGTCTTCAGATCTGTTCCTTTGAAACTTGCACATGCTGAACTTTCGAGCAATGTCTGTTTTTCTAAATTACTCTTATCTCTATATTTATCTGTGAAGTTGAAAATTGGTGTAACTGAAAATTGCTTTTAACACTGTAATGTAATGATGAGCAGGTTTTTGATTGTTTGTTTTTTTGCTTATAAAGTTTATTATAATAACTGTGAAAATTATAATTTGCAGCAACTTTACCTGATGAGTCCAGCAAGTTTTCTTGGGAATCATTTTTTGGTTTTTTTGCAGTTTATCTAGCAATCTAAAAGATGCATTTTTTTGTTTTTTTTTATTATTTAAAGTTTAATTATTGAAAAACTTCCCCACTTTTTTTTTGTGAAACTGTTATCGTGTTTAAAAAATAAATGTTTATTCCACTGATGTACATTTTATTAGAAAATAAAAAATGGAAATTCAGACTAGAATTTTTAACAACAACCTATCTGAAATGAAGCAATATTATAAATATTTTAAAGTAACAGATTTTAAAGTTTTAAGCTGACATTTTATCACAATATAGGTAGAACATTAGAACATTTTCACATCAACGGTTTTACAAAGGACATATTGTGAGGACCTACTTCCCATTGCCCATCTTAAACCTCAGTTAAAAAGAAGGATATCTAGAACCCCTTAAGAACACAACTTCTGAAATAAAAGGGAATCATGACGGAATATTACCGGGTGTAAAAAATGTTATATTAAGTTCTAAACTCACCAGCTGCTCACTGCCTCTTTACTCTGCCACAACACTTCATATCTCATTTACCTACAACTTCCTCTTAAAAAAGTGGTACTTTTTAAAAATGCTACACATTTTAGTGTTTATTTTCATGAGTATTTATATTTAGGGTAAAAGGGAATATTTAGGTTTAGGCCATAAGTCTAGGATTGCAATAGTTAAGGTAAAGAGGGTGCTAAGGTTTATGGGGTTTAGGACTAGTGGGGTTTTTGAAATTGCTTGCAATACACTTGTACTCCTACTGTTGGTTTCTTGATGCCAGAGAAGTGCCAAATTGAAACTCATAAATAGCTGTCAATGCTCCTTCGTGTACTCACAGAGAGATAATTATATACAGGATGAGGCAATGGGAGTCACTTTGTCATCATTCAGAATCAATATAACCAATGCAGACAGCCTCATAACATGCCACACTGCAAAAATAGAGCAATCACTCGATCAATAGGTAGTATATAAGTCTGATAAAAGCACATGGTGATTGTTATTGCATAAGTCTAGACATAAAGCTGTAGAGAAAATCAATCAGGCCATTTGCCACTGTTATCCTGTAGGAATACCTATTTTGTCAAGTAAATGTACCTATTTATTTTATCTTTAATTCGGCAAGTGGCAACTGTTGTATTATTGGAGGCAGGTAGTTGTATTTATGGTTTCAAGCAGAGACAGTTTCACCTGACAAGTGGCCTCTATCGCTTCTTATAATCATTGTGCTGTGGATAATATAAATTGTACTATAAAGGTCCCCAAGCCCCTACAGCTAAAAGCATAAGGGCCAGAGGAAGTCCAGTTGTCAGGTCCTGTATCAGGGATATCATATGGGACTTCAAACATTGTGGTCTATTCCTGCCCGGTATGATTAACAGGGCCAGTGGATGCTCAGTTTTCTGGACCCTCAATTAATTAGAGCTTTAAGATGCCCAGTCATCAGGCCCTACTAATTGCAAAAGTAGCCAGGAATGCCAGCAGCTACTGCTGCTGCCCTGAAATGGCTAAAGGGAAACTCTAACATAGTTTTCTCTACATATTTAGATGTAGGGCTGTGTCTTATACATTTATACTCACCTTTCAACCTTTCACCAGCCTTGCTACAGCCACCTTTCTTCCCCTGGCTAAGATCAACCAGGAGCCATCATAGAAACCAGAACAATGACCCAGCTGATTGGTCGGTTGTTAAAATTTGCTCCACAATTGCTGTTTCTGTGTAACTACAAACATATTTGTATTATCTTTGTGGGATTTTGAAATCTGCATTGTTTATTTGTTACTTCCCATCTGTTGCTAAGTAGTTGCTTGGCAATGCTTTCTATTTTTTATATTTTAATCTACCCTTTTAATGTTTGCAACCCCACTAAACAAGATGTGCTGTTATAACTTTGCATGTCCTTACATTATTATAGTTTACATGGTATAATATCACTAAAGTCACCTGGGCCATCTCAATGAAGTGGCCTGGATGCAGTGGCCCTACAGGTTTGTTTTTATCTTTTTTAATGAACAAAAACTATGTACATTTAAGATTCTTACTTTTACTTGATATATACTAAAACTTATATAGCAAACCATGATAAAGAATATAGTCTAGTTTGCATTAACAACAACAAAAACGTATATGCTAGAGATGGAATATACATAC